TTTTAACAATTAAAAATATAATATTTAAAATTTTAATAATAATTAATTATTTTTTTTTTTCAAATCCCAGGGGGTGCCACCGCCCCCCTGGTTTATACTTAGCTCCGCCTCTAGCTGTAAAAGTGAAACTACGAAAGGACATACAGTATAAACCAGAAACGCAAGGAGTCCTTGGGTCGAAGACTATTATTAAGAAAAAAAAAATTATTTGAATGAATAAAGTGTATAATTTGGAATTTCAGTATTTCACCGAAATATAGTGGATTTGGAGGCCGTTACATCATGGCGAGCACGCATTGCACCCCCACCCAAATTTGTTCGGTTTTGGTCTTGAAATTATAGAACATGCCCGGCAGAGGCTGGACCTGGTTCATATTGACAATCCAGGATCCAACTCCATATGTGGAAAATATGACTGCAAAGCAGGCGGACGAAAAAGTGTATTCTAGATGCAAATAGGAGAAGGCCGTTGTCCATGCATTTGATTTCTTCAGTCATGCATTGCAGCACTGAGATAGAAGTAAATTGGCAGATTAAAACTTAAACCTCCAGGCCTATGCAGCTGCGATAGCAACATTATCGTCTTCCTCCCAAATGACATTATTGAATCTGCTGGATGTCTTTTTTATCAACAAAACATGAAGAGAGAGCCCCCTTTGAGAAGGCCAGCTAAGCTCCAGGTAAAATACTGACTGATGACAATAAAAGTTGACTGGTTCTGCCCAAGATTTCCTGTATGAATTTAGATCTTTTCCTTAAATAACATAATAATACAAAGAATATAGATACGGCGTATCCGAATTAGCTTTGGCAAAATAAACCTGCAGGAACACCAAAGAGATGCTTCAGATTCACAGATGCACGGTACTGCTTTAAGGGCATTTATTAGTCAACTTGTTGAGAATGTGAATAACATTAGACAAGCACCAGTATCAATTCTATTCGATAATCTAACTAGATTAGATCCATAAGCACGCTTTGCACAATGAATAGGAAAATTACAAGACAATGGTTGCACGCCAGCATCTTTTTGGGTTAATGAGGGAAAAGGATAACCACCCACTTTGCTTCAACAGTGCATTTATGAGAAGTTACTGATGTAAACTAAGAAACTCAACTGAGACTATATATCATTGGGAGCGAGGCCATGAAATTATCAATCGTCTTTCTGATGCAAAACACTAGGCAGGCTATTATTACCATTGAGAGCAGCAAGATATATTCGCTTCTCAGCCAGTCCAATATCTGACAATATCAAATTACCCTGCAGGCAAGGCCAAGAAGAAAACAAAGTTGTCAAAGGAATGTCAATTCTTGCTATATCTTAAAAGTTCAATAAAACAGTTTGTCCTCCATGAATTAGTGATATCTTGACATGGGAAGCCTGGCAGTGCTGTAAGTCCTAATTCTTCATAGTTCAAGAATGGAGGGCAAATTTTGGAGCAATACTGATAACCATCCACGTAGCGTGGCTACAGTTCTCTAAAACCTGGTAAGCAGGTTTAAAGAATTTTATAGAGCAAATCAGAAACTAGGGAGGCATTCCATTCTGTCATTGGAAGTGGAAATGATCATCCAGGGTAACAATATCATTTAAAAGACAAATACAAGTAATGATACCTAAATGCATCCATCATAATTACAGATCTTTAAATCTTTTAGGAAAGAGAAAATATGTAAATGGCAATGCATACCTCCCTGGCCATTAATCTACGGACATTATTAGCATATAGTTTTGGATCATCCTTCTCTTCTTGTGATGGGTGGTAGACAGGTAACCTTATCACTTCTATGTAATTTACAAATTGACAGAGGAGAAAAATTACATGACGCACCTAGAAACAAAGATGCATAGCATGTTAGTAAGACCAGAAATAAATAGATTTTCAATGGAAAAATAACATATTTTGTAACATCCTCCATTTTGAATTATCTAAATATTCTATGGTAGTTCCACAATAGATCCATATTGCAGAACAGAGAAAAATGATAAATTGGGGAATGGGCAAAGCAACTCATGGTAGAAAAAAACCATAACCCTGATTCAAATGCCAACTCCATATTTCCACTGTATAGAGATGACTTGTATTAGATCTGCCACACAGTTAAATCACTAAACTTTCAGTCTTTTTAGATTCAATATTGTCCCCTTTACCCAGCACCAAGCTATTACTATTTGGAAGCTATAAAATCAAGGAACAAAATTAAATTCATAATCTAAATCCACTAAATCATGAACCTGCTTAAGAAATAGTTACCCCAGAGATTGAATCCCAGGCAGGACTGAATCTTTGGTATGGATATCTTAATATGACTGGAAGTACAGGCATTCTTGCCAGAAAGGCACCAGTCTTGAATGGGAGAAGGTGATCTCCATTTGTAGTTGTGCCTTCTGTTGTCAACATGAAGATGAATCATAAAGTGTTTTCAAGTTAATATGCATAAGCAAACATAATATGCATGGTACATATAATAGATACAAACACAAACACACACACACACACATATATATATATAAAGAGAGAGAGAGATAAGTGAATGATAGAATAAGGATACTAACCCGGAAAAAGCATCATCATTGGAGCAAATTTTTTCCGATGTGCTTCACGAACTCTTTCAGTCACAACCCCTTCAAGATGGGACATTAATTAAGTATTGCACTTCACAAAGAAAAACTCACTTAGGATTCAATTGTCTTAACAATGAACAACATAATCCTGGTCAAAGCAGTCAGACAGCTGCAACTGCAATGTCCAAAAATATTAGACACACGCTACTACCTGAAACACCCTTGAAGTCAGAAGACTTTGACTCCCGCTGAACAAAGACGCAACCAAGGCATTTGCTGTTAAAGAACAAGATACCACAATATCACTCCACATTTTCCATTTTTGACAGCCCCAAGATTTATATTCTTTAAAAAAAGTGGCTAAGAGTGCATTAAAAACATTTTTCGTCATAAATTTGTGTCAGAAAAACAAAAGTTTAACTTCAATTTATCAACAATTCAATTAAATTAAATTCATCCACTTGGCAACGATATTAAAATTAATATCAACTTTTACATTTTTCTACATACGTTTTTTTGACAAGGAGGTGCCATTAACATTAGGTTACAAAAATCCTAAATTTAATCATTAATGGAAGGAAGGTATAAAGGAAATATAATGAAAAATTCAAATATACTCCTTAAACTTCAGGCGTTTTACACGGATTGGGAATGTTAGAGTTAGCTCACCTGATGAGGCCAACTAGAGGAAGTTTAGCCACTGATCTCTTCAGCAATAAAATCCAGATTACAACCCACAAAATCAGAAGCAGAAGCATGTCAGTCATAAATTCCAGCATACAACTATTTGTGGCAAAACTCAGAAGATGGTAAATCAACATAATCAACATACCTTGGCAACAAAGCTTGGAAAAGAAGAAGACATGTGATACAATATATCTATATATGAAACATGATTCGAAATTATTGCTCCAGGTCTTTCCGCCTCTTCTGATTGATCTTTGCTCTGATTCTAAGCCAAAAAGAAAAGAGAGGAAGAAGTTAAAGTTGAGCTATCGAATCCAAGCATTTATCAATGCCGAAGAAAAAGCAGAGTCTACCACGAATCGGATAAAGCTGTGTACCTCAGTGGCCGATTTCTCATTGTCACTTAAATCTCTGTAAGTCTCGTTAATCCAATAAAATCCAAACACAAAAAGAATAAGCCTAGACAATAACCTTCCGGAGCGGACGGTCACCGACCGCCTCCACCCGCCCATATGCGCGTAATCCTCCTGCTCATCCTCCCGGTTGGGCGCCGAGAAAAGCGTGCAAATCCGACAAATCAAGTAATAGAGAAGCAATATGGACATTGCCAAAACCACGCGTATTGGCAGCAGAGTTACAATCGCGATTCCAAGCAGGAGCTTCTCCTTGAACGGGAGTTCCCCTTGTCCCAGGGGACCGTAGACATCGTTGCGCACGTAAGCAGCGAATTTCTTCTCGAGTTCCTGGATGCTCTCGGTAGATGCCGGCGTCGACCGTTCCGGCTTGAGTAGTGGGCGGTCGACTTTGGCGGAGGCATCGTCGACCAGATGCGGCAGCTTGGAATCGAGGTCTCGGAGTTCGGTTTCTTTCTCCATTGCCAATGAAATCAAGATTTGATTAGCTGGGGAATTAATGTTATTTATTGGAACGGAGGGAGATCGGAGAATTTGGAAAGGAGAGGGAAACTCGTAGATCTGACATGCTTTTCTGCTTCACTCGTTAATTGGGGTTGGGATTGGGATTGATTCCGGCGATAGAATCATAGGAGGAAAAAAAAAAAAATCATGGGAGGAAAATCCTTGTGGGGTACGCAATTACGAATATACCCAGCACCCCATCATTTTTATGCTCTGGTGGGTCCCGTGAGGGTTCATCATTAGCCGTCGGATTGGATGATGTTGACCCTTTTGTGTTAGAAGGGAGGGACCCTCCAAAATGCGAGATAAGTGGGGCCATTCATTCAACTTGCCTGGTAAAAAATTGCTCCAACAAGTAAAAGCCAAACCAACTGATTGATTGGATTTACCTCAGCGAACGTCAATCCTATTTGCGTTTCATAGTCAGAATTTTTTTTTAAATTTTTTTTTCATAATCTAAATTAAAATTAGATAATTTAATCTTTATATATAAAAAAACATATTTTACCAGTGACCTGTTAATTTAAATAAAAAAACTTAATTTTTTAAAAATAAAATCTTAAATTCAAATTTTATAAATAAAAAAATCAACATGAAAGGATTTCTCTCAAATAAAATTCGACATACTTTAATTTTAAATTAATCAAAATTTAATATAATTATCGAATACTAAAAAATTAATAAGAAAAAAATAAAAGGCACATTTGATGATGGAGAATATCTTATTCCCTTTTCTTAAACCCATTTCATTTTTGTAAATTTAAACTTGAAATTTTCAATTTATAATTTCAAATTTCTTAGTTACGGTTGGAAACACCAATCACGAACATGGGTTCATAACATTGCTTAGCTACTGATACTTCCCAATCTTTTATGGATTACGTGTGTCAGTTTCTGATAATTGAACAGGAGAGTGTTGAGAAGCAACGAATTCAATTGCTCCTAATCTTTGCTCACCTCTTTAGTTGTATCAACCCCCTAAAAACAAATCCAAGACTAAGAATCAAGAGCTTGATCAAGATATGATCATATGGCATGGCAAACATCACTTAGGGAATGACTGGGTCCTCAAAATAAACATGCTACGGAGTACTTAGAAATAGAAAGAGCCAAGTCGATGCTAGATTTCAATGCTTAACACACCTCAAATTCTCTGCTACAACAGTCTGATACCTAGAGCAAGCAGAAAGAAAAGAGACATGTAATAACTAAGTCACCCCATTCCCCCGTTCCCTTTAGACTTTAGGCATCTTCAAATAGCTAAAACGATCAAGTAATTAACAAATGTATTCAAATGGTTTTGGGGCAGAACAGATTAGGTTGTGGTTTAACAAAGCATTCTAACACATCAAATTCCACTTTACTTTATCTTCCATCCAAAAAGTATGAAGATGTAGGGAGCTTGTCAAGCCAAAAAACCACGAGAATCCCAAAAAAAAATTTAAAAAAAAAATGCAAACAGAAACCAAAGCCATGGTTGCTAATTCCTAAAAACCAAAGCCATGGAGATTTTATTGTCAACCGTTGTTAAAATCCTGCCACAGTTGCTATCCTTAAATTAGCTAAGATCTGAGTATACTAAGGTCAATAGTCATTGCCAACATTTTTTTTTTTTTTTTTTGCACAACAGAAGTTAAGACTCAAGATTCAGCTTGAAAACGAAGGACCAAGATCCTTCATGTACCACAGACTAAAAAACTACAATCCACTAGCAATTCACTGTCCCATGAAATAGGATTTCAAGGAATAAGCAAGAAGCAAGACCCCTAGACTCATTGCTCAAATATGTAAGGCAAAATAGAACACAGGGTAAATATGGTTCCCTGAAAAATACAAATAAACATACTTTCACTTTGGTCTTTACTTTAAACTTAAATTCTTATGACCAATAAAAGATAACAATTTGTTCTTTGTTTTGGATAACCATGGGTATGAATTTTCTACAAAACTGAGAGATTTGAGGGTAAACAACTACACAGCCAATAAATAAATAAACTTCTCACTAATTAAGTTCTCTTTCATAAAATCGACAAATGCAACTAAACACAGTTTACTTCAAAAGTTTTTGTCTCTGCAAGTGAAATAACTAAAAATAGGATAGTAATTCTCTTTTCAACAAATTCTTAGCTTCTATTCAACAACAGGCAAGCCAAACCAAATATTCAAACTCCCATACAAAGATCAGATGATTAGGAGAACTGAAATTCTAAAATGTAGAAACAAGGAATCCTACCTAAATCCAAGTTTTCTGTGCTGTACACGGTTCAAAATCACACTGATACACTATCTTTGTTTTGTCAAGAAGAAATGTCAAAGTTAAACCAATTACAGTTAATCTCCAACTCTTCCCAAACTTTTAGCTTATTACACCATCTTTTAATATTACGTTAGATCACACTGGTAAATCCAAATTAAAATCTAGTGTCAAACATTATGTAAACACACATTGGGCCTTTTGAACAATAAATCATGAACCCTTGTATTAAATAGTGAATATTATTCAATTTGAATCAAGTACCTCCACAATTTGAGAGTTGAGTTACTCTCAGAATTCCCAGCTAGATATCCCTTGATTGAATTGTCAAGTCTTCTGCTTCCACCAAATAACCCAATTTACAATTCAAACAAGATAAACAATAAGGATTCCTGACACTAACAGTCATACCTTGAAGAAGAGCATCAAACTCAGCAAGAAACCCAATTCTTATGGGTGCTAATGATCGCCGATAAAAGCCCAGCAGACGCCAACAAAAGCGGCCCTGAAAGACGCCCTTTGCTGTCTCGAATATCAGCCAACGCCATTAACCCATCCGCCAAATCTTGAACAATAGAAAGTTTCTTCATTAACAACTTCTCTCTCAATTTCTTCATCCTCGCTTCTTCCACTTGATGATCAATTCCTCTCGAAATCGCAATCTCAATACCGGCGTTCAAGCACTTCTCGTCTTCGGTAATCTGCTTCAAATCCCTAATTTTAAGAGTAATACTGCCTAAGTAACCGATAAACTCAGCCCAAGCACTGATTTTTTGCAGACTACGAGAGTGTTTCCCATCAATCAATCCGGATTTAGCCAGCCAAATTAACTGTTCAACAAAATAATACAAACCTTCACCTCCATAAGCAACAATCGATATAAAAATCTCTTGCTTGGAATCCAATTGCGAGTTCCTCAGAGCGTTGATGTCTTGAACGAATTTACCGAGTCGGAAAGCCTTCCGACTCAGTCCCACACTGGATTCAAAGCTCTTGAGGCGCTGAGCCACCGGTAGGGTCTCGGGGAGGACGGACGAGGCCAGAATGATCTTGGTGGCGTACCGAGAGATCTTTAGCAGCTTGTCCACGCCATCTCTCTTCGCGAGGTAAGCTTCGAGATGGTTCAGGAAGCCTCTATCTTTGGGTTTGTATTGAATTTGGGTTACGGAGGTTTCGGAAGGACCTGAAGCTGAAGCTTTCGTACCCATGGCGTCGGGAAATCGGAAAAGACCAACAGAGATGGCGGCTGATGGGCGTTGAAGCTCAAACTTCACGTTAACTGTCCACGTCAGCGACGGAAACACGCA